AAAATCGAATTACGTTTTCCGATATTTAGAGAATCGAATTTTACGGAAAAAGTCGAACAGGACGGTGCGTTTGTTCCCACCTGATCTGGGTTGGCATGGATTGGGTATTATTTATCAGAGTCACGCGAATTCGATTCTCCTGTCATTTAATCAGCAAAGTGGTATTTAAACGTACTAGACCGAGTCGAGCTGTTGCGAGCCAGCCAGCCAGCCAGCTCATTCATGCGGAGATTTTATTGGAGAACATTATATTGTTATAGGCAACCGCAAATCAACTATATGAAACTTCAAACGAACTGCTATGGTGTTACATGCATACGCGATACCCGTTTACACGAGTACCCGTACTCCAACGGGTACAGGTTGGGTTGGGTTGGGTTGGCACGTTATTGTGAAATGTGTGAGCTCTCATATACGTCATTGTTCATAACGACGTTTTATATATAAAAAAAAAAAACAAAGTGTTACATTGTTATTTATTTTTTTACAATCTTCTTTTTTTTTTTTTTTTATTAATCCCCCGTATTTTTTAATCAATTTATAACCAATGAGATAAAACAAACAAAAATACGTTTCCTCGTAACCTATTAACCGTTCGCAAGTAAAAGTGATAAATTCTGCTTGAAAATGTAAATTTGTATGAAATTTATTTAAATTCATTTGAAATACGCGAAAATATGATTTTTCCTAAATAAAGATAGTTATATATAAACTATTATATTATATATTACAATCTACATTTGCATCGATTAATAATATTAACGATTATTTTAATTTAGATTATATAAATATATGTTAGTTTAAATATATGTTAGTTTAAATATTACATACCTATTATCATACTTTAACTGTGTTAAATTATTTTCATTTGATATTTTTTTTCATGAGAATTTTATCCCCCAAACTCATCACTGTACAAATGTATATTAGTTTAAACAATTACATTAATAATCTTTAATTCTATTCATTTGAAATATTATTTCTATTACACACTCATGGACAATTTTCGGCATCATGTAAACGACATTTGATAAAACAATTTGTTTAGATGACAACGTGTCAGTCTTATATGAGATTTCGTAGAAAAAGTATCATCAATACAATAGTGCATCCATATTTTTATAATAAAAAAACCACACTTTGTCATTTTTCTTTCTACCATTTGTTTCGCGAAGTTAATCCATTTTGTAAAGTAAATAAATGTAGAAAAAAATATTATTCTTATAAAAATCAAATAATAATTTAAAAATGCACTTATATTAAAAGACCGTTCAAATTATACGATTAATCTCTAACCTCTCATACCTGTTATACTTGACCTCGAATACAAATATTTATACATATCAACGTGATCATTATCCGAGTCGATGTTGGATAACCGATTAACATAATGCTTCATTATTAATAATAGACATAGCTAATTATGCGCACATACCACCACCACTATCACCACCACCACCACCACATACACCAACGCAGGTGTACCCTTACGCACAAACACATATATACTGATTTCAACACAAACATATCAAGTAACAGGTATATATATATATATATATATACATATATGTAGATAGTGATGAGAGATTGACGAAGGTCGGTGGACAAACAGGAAGGAAGGAAGGAAGGAAGGAAGGAAGGGTAGAGTAGAGTAGACTAGAATAGGGTAAGGTAAGGTTAGGTTGTATACGTTCTCGTTAGATTCCAGGAGATCCGATATTACCTGATCAGGAAGGAGACCGATTCGTTCAAATACGCGGAACATCAGGTTCGATCAGATGAAACGGGATTGACGATAGGTTCTTCTCAGTAGTTCAGGAGGGTTGAGAAGAGCTAGTTGAAATGGGTTGGTAGAATACATACATAAGGGGGGGATAGAGGAGGGGTGGTATTATTTAAGCAGCCCGCGGGACAGTTTCGAAGGAGATAGTGTTGGAAGTGTAGATGATGATGACGATGATGATGATGATGGTGTAGGTAGAGATAGTGTGAGGATAGGGGGTGGAAGGAACGGCAATCAGGTGCGCTAATGCCAATCAATTATGTGTTCGCAACCCAACCCATGAGGTGGTCGACACCTCCGTCTGTTCGATCCTCCTTCTCATCCTCCTTCTCTCACATTGGATCTTCCTGTTCCTCTTCCTCCTATGCTGAGGTATGGTCCTTTATCAATACGGTCATATCGGAACGGGCCGATATATTAGTTATCGATTTCCGAGGTTACACGGCAGGGTCGATGTACCGACGTCGTTGTTGGCATTACCGACAATCCTCTCTCTCTCTATCTATCTATCTCTATATATATATATATCTATATCTATCTCTATCTAATACACATACTATTGCCAGGACCACCAATGGAGCATTCTGACTCGCTATAACGCCTCCGGTGTGTCTCTCCTGTGGGTTGCAAGTGACAGCTTCGCAAACGGATTCGGCAAGACGAATCTCGCTTTCAAGAAGGGTAACTCTAAATCCTCCTTCCTCAGCTACTCTACGCTCTAGGCTCTGTCCTACGATCGAATCTTATTGGTAAGGTATAGAGGGGCTAAGGTATAGAGTGAGAGAGGGAGGAAGAGGGAAATAAAGAGAGGGGGTCGAGGGTTATGGCTAAGGAAGCTAGCTTTGAAGGGGTGTCTTGGGATCGAGCTTTCCGATTCTCAGGATTTACGGATTTAGCAAAGTTCGCTTGGGATGATAGTGATTGTTAAAACTGGATCGATTCATGGGACGCCCATTGTATATCCTTATATCCTTCCATTGGGATAAGGAAAAGTCTAAGTTTCCTATTGTCTATTCCATTTCCTGGATTTATACTTATTGATATATGTTATATAGTTGAACTTTGTTAGACTGTTTCAGACAAGTTTTTACCATTTTTATTTGATTATGCAAACTCTTTTTGCTTGATTATATATTTTTAATATTATATATATATATATATATATCAGATGATTTGAATATTAGAATATGTAAATGTGTATAAGTAGATAATTAAAAAGGTAAAGGTACGATTTGATTTTGTCATTAAATTAAATTTATACCTGAACGATATATATATTTGTTAAAAACTTTTGTTTTTCTATAGTAATAAAAATATTGAATTATAAAATAAAATATATTAAAAATGATAATTATTATGCACTTTATCGTAATATAATAACATATTTATTCATTAAAATATGGAATATACATGAAATGTATTAATTGAACATAAAATAAGATTTATGTTTGAAAATTGTAGGAAGATAATAAAAAAAAAGAAATTGAAAATTCCATTCTAAGGATAAAATTAATATCTTAATGTGTACACAAGCCCTAGGTTAAACTAAAAGCAGGGATGTTCTCGAATAGATTTCTGAGTATTAACGGTGAAAATCTTCTGGGACTGCTCAGGGCGATTAAAGTCGAAAGGAAGTGAACGATTGAAAGAGTCTGATCCTTCCGGACAATTACCTAGGTAGAACCTTCAAGGCGTCGAATTTATCGTCTTCAACAGCGAACCTAATGATCGTTTAAATATATATATATATTTCGAAATCTTAACGCATTTTAAACTTCGATTTCGCTGAACCATCTTTATTTAATTATACGAAATTGTTACCGAACTGTTGCAACATTTTGTATTTTTTCTTTCCTTTCCTATTTCTTTTTTTTTTTCTTTCCGTGTGTAATCATTCGACTCTATGGAGAAAGATTTTAATTTTAGGGATTAATTGAGCGCGAAGTAAATTTTAATTACAAATCATTTTATTTTTCTCTTTTTTTTTTTTTAAGAAATCAAGAAACAATTAATGATGAATTCAGTGTTAATTAAAAACGCAAAACAAAGAAACAAAAAAAAAAGGGGAGAGAAATTAAAGTTCATTAAGTTCGTAAGTAAATTAACAAAACAATGTGGTGAATTATTAATAATAATAAAAAAAGAAAAACAATGGTTTGAGATGGTAATTAAATTTGAATAAAATTAGATAGCAATTTTAGTAAAAAAGATTTAGTGTAATGAAAATCAATAAGAATTATTTAAAACTCATATGCAATATTTAAGAATTCAGTAGTATAAGTAAATGATATAATTGGACCAAAGGAATTAAGTGATTAATATTTTACAGGATACTTTACCGTAAACTGAATATCTCGTGTTTCATTCGATGCATCTTTTATTACTTAAGGATTTGAGTTTGCAATAGAAAAACGAATCGTATAGCATTAATTAAACAAAAATAATATCGGACTGTAGTATATAAATACCTAAAATTTATCGATTGCAATAAATTAAAATTTATAATTTCAACTTATCCTAAACAAAAGTTATAAGTTCGGTTAGAAGTCAGTCTGACGTAATGCATATCACATCAAAACCATTTGCAAAACCACTGTTTTAATAATACATTTTAACAACAAAACTTTGACTGTCTGTAATTTAATATAACAGAAAACACAAACGAGAGCCAAAATAATAGACTTAAACGTTAGGATAGCAATAGAAAAGGTAGTAGCGAGGGGGGGGGGGGGGGGGGGGGAGGGGGAGGGGGGTTGTAGATATTGTAGAGGAAACATTTCATTTCCCATTAACGGTATCTTACATTAGCGAGTTGTAAGTTTCTAACATTAGAGAGGTAAGGGAAAGAGGATCTTCATGTTCGTGCGAATTTAACGCGTTGAATTGATGCGGGTAAGGCAGACAAGGAGAATAGACAGACAGACAGACAGACAGACGGGCAGACAGACGGGCAGACACGGTATTGCATCAACGCTTTGTCAAAGGGAATTCACGAAAGAGCAGTCTCAGCCTATCCGATTTCGGTACAGGAGAAAGTGCTCAAGTAGGCAGACGCTTGTTCAGACTCGTGCTGCAACATTTCCCTCAGGGAAAGATCGTTGTACGAAAAAGAAAGAGAAATACAAAGTGAAAGAAAGTGAGAAAGAGAGAAAGAGAAAGAGGGGATGTAAGATTCGTCAGAGAAAACGGTGACAATAGCGTAAAATTTTCTTCTTACCTGCAGACAGTGCCTTCTCGCAAGCCAACCAATGTGCTGAAGCTGCGGTGGATCCGGAACTGCTGAGGCTAGTCTAAGTGCCTTTAAAGTAAGTGCAGCTAACGCTGAATGTAAAGCGTTGAACCATACATTTGCTTCGGTGTTATCAGCGGCTCTCAACCAACATTCGTGAACACCGTCGGGTGAATGTAACTCGAGAATTCTACCATCTGTAACAATAATTAATCAAAGTGATATTATATTTGTGTCGTTAATTGTATTTATTTATTTTTATTTTTATTCTTATTCCGTTCCCTTTTTTTCAAGTTTAGAAGGGCTTTCGTTAGAATCTTTACTTTTTAGAAAAATATTATAATATATATATATCTCATATATATTTCTTCAGATCACTAATCGTTTTTTTCTTTAATACATTAATCACTAACTTTCTCATCTTCTCTTTTCAATTCATTATTTTTATGCTAACATTTTGTCGTTAATTATATTTATGTTAAATCGCATCGTTTCAAAAGTTACCACCTTTTTTTGTTTCTCTTTCGACAATGTTTTTAGTAGTGAAAAGTAAATTATGGATATTAATGGTAAATTGTATCTATTCTTTTATTGTAACACATTATAATAATTGATATTATTATTATTATTACAGGTACCGATACGAGTCTTGTTATTTGTTATTATTGTTATCTTTTGTTATTATTAAAGAACTTAGAATATAAATAATATAATTAAAAAAGAAATATATAATCCATGTCATACTTATAATGATCTTTCATTTACTTTTTTCTTATTATTTTTCAATTATTCAACTAATTTGATATCGTAAATTTAAAAAATGCACAAACGGCGGGTGGGAGGAGGAGAATGGGTACAGAAATGAGGGGCTCGTTGGATTGTAAAAAAAAACGGGGGGAAAAAAAAAAAGTAAGTAAAAGTAATCCCTGCAATTTCGATGGTTCGATTCTAATGGAAACAAGAAAAGTATATGGAAGTAGGGGTAGGTAGGGGATCTAATAATCTTATTACACGAACAATAGCGCCAAGATTCTTTCGTAAATGTATTTTCTTGGTAATCACGTGAGTGGAAAGAATGGAAAAGAGTAGGAAAGAGAGAAAGAGAGAAAGAGAGAGGGTTAAAGTTCTCCAATCAGAAGAGACGTCGAAAAAGAAAGAAAGAGAGAAATAGAAAAGGGTGGGAAAGGTGGGGAAGGGGGTGTGTGTGTGTGTTAGGACGGAAAAAGTAACACGATTCCCGAATTGGACTCCGTGGCGCGAACCTTAGTACCTCGTAAACCTTTTTCGTAGCTTAACGCGAAAACTTTGATACGCCTGACATAAATTGCACTTGGGATCGGTCACGAAGTGTAAGACTACCAACCAAACTTGCCACCACCCCCTCCCAATCTCTTCTGATGAGGGGACGTGAAGTAAAACCCCCTCTCCCCTCCCACTTTCCCATCCCTTATCCCTAGTTGCAATCTGGTTGCAATCCTCGTGCTAGTATAAAATCGTAGGAGTACCTCTTTGCGATTTGTGCTATTTTGGAAAAAAACTTTGGTAAAAATACATACGAATGCGTACATACATACATACATGTATAGATGTATATGTATATATTGTATTACATATTGGATCAAGGAAAAAGTCTTATTTATATCTTGTATTTAAAAATGCAATACTCAAATAGAATTTAATTTTGTTGTTGTCATGTTTCCTATCGAGATGTTTACAAATGGTTTAAAACTATTAACAAACGTGTCGTTGGCAGGAAAAATAATTTTACAATTAAACATTGGGATAATGAAAATTGTCAAGTTACACTTTTAATAATACCGCATAGTGTGTGTGTTTATTGATATCCAAAGTATTTTTCTACCTTTTTGTTTAGCAACCCTAATCTCGATTCATCCCTTGCTGGTAATCAAATTTCAAAATATATCAAATTACTTTCATTATATTCGTTCACAAAATACGACGACGAAATTGTTTATATTTTCTTATTTCTAAATCATTTCACGAAATATTTTTACAACTTTTAAAACGCCAAAAAAAAAAAGAAAAACAAGAAGAAGTAGTATTTATCAGATATCTGTGTTTAATATTACGAGAGTTGTTATACGATCCTAAAATCGTTGTAGGTAAGAGGGGAAAAAAAGAAAAAAGAAAGAAAGAAGAATAAAAAAAAAAAAAAAACGAAGCAACTTAATTCCCGAGCCAATATAAATAATAGTAGCAATGGAGGTTGAATCAACGACGAATCGGTTGCTACCATTCGTTTAATTTATTTGCCTACGTATACGTATGTGTACATGCAATATGAATTTATACCTATATACTTATATATATGCGCACACATATATGTATTATATATATATATATAGGGATTCTCCATTTAAATTTCGAAACACGATCTTTATTTTCCTAACTTTGTTTACATCCAATTAAAAAGCGTAATGGATAGAAAAATATTGCCCAGAAGCGAGTGGAATCCTACTGCAATAATTCTTGTTTTTCCTATCCCTTCTTTTTCTTCATCTTCTTCTTCTAATTCCACTCATTCTCTCTCACAAATCTTTTTCTCTCGTGTTACAAATAATAATAATAATAATAATAATAATAATAATAATAATAATAATAAGGGTAGACGATCTTTCATCTCTCTCTCTCTCTCAATCGATAAAAATGCAAACAAGCGATTATGGCTCGAATTTAAAACCTTCGAACGGGGTTCGTATTCGTTCAGTTAATAGCCGAGCTTTTTAATGGACGTATCGGAGATTTCACCCCATCTGTGAAAATTGCAAGCTCTCTCTCTCTCTCTCTTTTTCTCTCCCATTTTTTTTTTCGTCTTTATTCTTTCTCTTTCTTTTGCATCGGAAATATTCTTTTTCTTTTATTTGCCGTGTGTGCACGTACACACACACGAACGTGTACCTGCGAACTGTGTATATAAATGTGTAAGTGTGTAAGTGTTGTAATGTATGTATGTGCCCGCGCGTACGTTTTTATTATTTTCTTTTTATTCTATTCTTTTATTTCTTTTTCTTTTGGAAAAAAAAAAAAAAAACGTTCGATAGGCAAAACTTAATCGCCTCGCAATTCAGTTGGAAAACGGGAAAAGGTTTCTCGCTAAAGGGTCGAACAGAAACGAGAGACGAATTCGCGTACTCTCTCTTCCTCTCTCTCTCTCTCTCTCTCTCTCTCTTTTTCTCTCTCTCTCTTTCTCTCTTGTTCCTTTCTCGTAGGGAAATAGGTACGAGCCGGAGGTAAACGCGCCGCCGGGATGGATCCATAAAGAGTATGAAAGAAAATATTGAATTTCCGATCAAAAGGAAATTACGCTCGAGTTAAAAGCTCGACCTCTTCCTCCCTTCTCAAACCATCCACCTACCCACCCCCAGCCACCCACCCACCCACCCACTCTCTCTCTTTCTCCCTCTTCTTATTTATTTCTCTTTCCTTCTTTCTTCTTCCTTCCTATTTCTTTCTATTTTTCTCTTCTTCTATCTATCTTTCTTTCTTTCTCTCTTTCTTTTTCTATTCCTTTCATTTCTTTTCTCTCCCATTTTTTACTTCCCCTCTTTTTATATTCCCTTCCCTTTCCGTTCTCACAATTTTGTTCCCCTTTTACCACCCATCTTCCGGCTAGTATGTTTCCCTTCGTCAAAAGAAGGGATTCGTTTAAAGGGGTAAAAGATAAAAATGGCCGATAAAATGGCAGAGATAAAAACATATCGTATTTTTCAAAGAATACGCTCTAGGTACTTCCCCCCCCCCCC